TATTCAGATGAAACCTTTGCAGATTGAGACTATTCTATCATAACTGAAGTCAACTAGTATTCATGAGATTCAGATCTTTCTGAGCTTTGTGAATTTCTATAGATGATTTATCTTTGCATTCATGAGAATCTTCTTGACCCTTACAGACATGCTGAAGAATGAAAATAAGAAGAAGTTATCCTGTGAACAGAGAATGAAAAGGTTGTTGAGAAGAGAGAACTGTGAGGACTTTCTTATCTCAGAAGCTCATGAGGCCTTTGCAAGGTTGAAACAGGCATTCACAGACACAGTGATGCTGTTTCACTTTGATCTCTTACTCTTAATCAGATTGAAGACAGATGCCTTCTTCTTTGCAATTTCAGGAATAGTCTCATAACTACAGTCAAATGAGAACTGGGTTTCAGTGACCTTTTTCTCACAGAAGATGCAACTCACAGAGATCAACTATAGCATTCATGATCAGAAGCTTCTTACAATAGTGAAATCCTTTCATCACTGATATCACTACTTCAAGAGCCTTGCAACAGTGATTACTGTGAGAACTGATCATGACAGCTTATAACAGTTTACTTCAATCAAGGAACTCTCACAGCAGCAGGTTTGCTGAGCTCAGAGACTGAGTGAGTTCTGATTCAAGATAGAACATATCAAGAGAACTAAGAACTCAGTGGACAGACTCTCTCACAGGCCAGACTATGTTAAGAAGATCAGGGTGACAGACACAGAGAGACTAGAGAAGGCAGAAAAGCTTCACAGAATGCTTGAACTGAGTGTTGCAAAGAGATTGACTGAAGAGTCTTTCAATCCCTCATGAGAGAAGAAAGAGAAGAGAGAGAAGAAGCCTGCATAACTACTCTCTGTAACACTGAGAGTCAACACTCTGAGAATCTCTGCAAGAATTCTTGAAGAGAGTATCTATAATCTGAAGGATTTGCAGACTTTGAGAAGTGCTGTGAAAGACCTGATGCAAGGGAAAACAGAGTATAAGTCTTCATAAGATCTTCTATTCAGATTGTCTGAACTGCAACTGAAGAATGAATATGCTCAATATATTCAGAAACTGCTCACAGCAGGAATCAATCCTGCAGAAACAAAGAGTTGAAGAGACTTAAATAACCTCTTGCAAAGAGAGGGCTGGATTTATGTGCCTGTAAATGAGTTTCTATGTGTAGAACTCATCAAAAGGCATCATGACTCTTCTCTAGCAGGTCATTTTACAGACACTAGAACTCATGAGTTACTCACAAGGAAATACTTCTGACTGAAGATATGAGGACTTGTGAAGAAGATAGTGAATTCTTGTACTGTTTATCAGGGTTCATGAGTAGTGCAGTTCAGGTCATATGAAGAACTTACTCCTCTACTTATCTCACAGAAACCTTGAGAACAGCTAGGAATAAATACTCTTATGAGCCTCTCTGAAAGCAAGAACATATATGATGCCTGCTTTGACAGTGTGCTGATAATAGTGAATCACTTCATCAAGATGACACACTTTATACCCACTCACAAGGACTTGAAGTCAAAGAATTTGACTCACATCTTCATTCATGATGTGATCTGATTGCATGAATTGCCTGTGAACATTGTCTCAGACAGAGAATTAATCTTTGTAGAAGAGTTCTGATCTGATCTGATAATTATACTGAAGATCTCATGAGATTTAAGCACAGCTTTTCATCAACAGACAGATGATCAGACAGAATGTCTGATGAGTATATTGAAACAGTATCTGTGATACTTTGTCAATTACAATCAGAATGACTGAGTGCATTGATTATCACTCACAGAGTTCATGTACAACAACTCAAAGCATGTCAGCACAGATAAAACTCTCTTTGAGATGCTCACTGAGACTCATCTGCAGATAATCTTGATGAACTCATGAGAGTACACTATAGAGTGTGATGATGCCTGTGAACAGACTGAGAGAATTCAGAAGATTCAGGAGAAAGCTTATAAATTCTTGAGAAAGGCTCAAGAGTATCAGAAGAGATACTATGACTTCAAGCACATTGCAAAGAGTTTTAAGAAAGATGATAGAGTCTGACTGAGTCTAGAAAACATCATCACACAGAGATCTAGCAAGAAGCTAAATCTCTTGCAGACAGGGTCTTATAAGATTATGAAGAAAGTTAGTCTGCAGTTCTACAGATTGAAACTGTCACCTGAGTTGTAGATATACAATGTTTTTCATGTCTCTTTACTCTGTGAATATAAGAAATTCTCAGAAGAGAATTCTATAACTCATCACTCTATCTGTGAAGCACTAGAGAGTGAAAGAGAATATCAGGTCAAAGAAATTGTTGACTCAGAGAAGTGAGATTGTGAGCTCTGATTCAAGATTCAGTGACAAGAATATTCTGACAAGATGAATAAGTTCACTTGAGAATCATTCAGGCAGATAAGACATCTGCAGAAGCTGAGACATGACTTTCATACTGTAAATTCTGATAAGTCAGAATGATGCAGTCTTCACTAAGAACCTGATTGTGATAAAGATATTAACACTGTCATTTGTGAACTCTAGTCTATAAGATGATGAGTTTCTACTGAGATGAACAGTCTGCAGTGTATGCAAGAGAAGAAGAAAACATGTTCTCATTAAAGCTAAAAAACAAGAAAATAAACAGGGCTGTGAATACAATTTAGAGACTAACAAAGAAAAAATAAAGAAAACTCACACTCACATCATCAACATCTGTGATACTCAACTCTCTCACAACTATCAATTTCTCTCTTCAAAGAAGCAGAGAGTATTATGCCTGTGATACAGACAATTGTTGCATTTAGCATGAAGATCATCAGAAATGCACAGACTTCAGAGAAGCTGAACACCAGGACACACACAGTTGTGACAGAGTCTTGAAGACTGGTCATCTGTGTGTGTGATCAGATATCTCTCATGAAGCTGTGTCTGCTCTCTCAGTTATGCTGGAGTATCCAGCCTGGAAACAATGAGGACATGAAGAGAGAGCTCATCTGCCCAGGTCAACTTCTGTCACAAATTCATGACATTCACATTGCCTTGATTACTCAGATTTTGCAGGTACCTGGGGACTTATCTCTCATTGGCAATGGGATTGCAGAAATGCGCTGTGATGTGAGAATCATTGATAGAGAACCTAGGCATATTTGCATATGCCTGGTCAGAGATTGTGCGGGCAGAGAGAGAGTAGTCATAGGCCTGCAGGGCCGCAGGAGGCACTGACAACACTGAGAGCTTTGTAAGAACTGTCAGCTAGAGTCTGTAAGGAATTACTTATGAGAAGACTTACAGCAAAGAGAGAGACTGCGCTGCTTAGAGCCAGGGGCTGGCCTGAGGGAGGCAGGGGGTTGGCCGCTGGCCTGAAGATTGGGTGCAGTGGCAGGGCTGGGGAGAGTGAAGATGTGATCATGGATGATGATGTCTCTGCTTCACCAGCCAGTAAAAAGTGATCAGAGGAGTTGCAGAAACACTCACAAGAAGCTCAGCAGCAATCAGACATTGTTTATAAAGAGATTGAAATTGAAAAAATTTTTATTCTTGAGAAGTTCTTGAATCAACATGCAGACACTGTCAGGAACACTCTCTCTCTATTATCTGAGTGAAAACACTTCACAGATGAATGAGAATACTCACAGTTTATAAGAATGAGAGCTGTTACAGAAAAAGAAAAAAGAAGATAAGATTTCACAGACAGATCTGAGGTATTTATACTACTCTAGAGAGATTTGCTTACACTGTGAGTGATTCTGCAGAACAGTCAGATCACTCTAGTAAATAAGAGTGATTGTGAATCACAGGCCTGAATCTTTCTATATGACTACAAAGAGTGATTGCAGACTGCAGATATCTTGATTCTATAATTCTACAGAGTTGATGAAAGAATGGAAAATTCCTCACAATTCTACAGTGTCAAAGAGCAATGATTTGTGAGAATGAATGAAAGATCAACTCACAAATGTTTCTCTTTGATGAGAATGATCTCACAGAGAGTGATTCACCTGTGAGATGAATCTGTGTGATGATCACACAAGAATCTCATGAAAATGATTGAGAGTCAACCAGAATCCTTCTGTATGAAAGGTGTGAGATGAATCTGTGTGATAGTCAGAGAAGAATCTGTAAATCATAAAGAATCTCACAGAACAAGAAACTGAGTAACAGACTCTTTTCTCTTTACAGTAACAAGGGATTTTTCCTCACTGAGGTTTTTTATAGATGTGAAGGGTTTTTAGTGAGTATCACTGCAGTGCTGAGCTGACTATGAAGTCACTCAGTGAAAGGCTTTGTGAACAAAGTCTTAGAGAGAGAAGGGTATGTAAGAAATCCCACTTCTTGCAGATTCTTTACCTCTATTCCTATCTCTTGCATAATCAATAGGGCTAGCAGCCCTTGGCTATACACAACTATATAGACTGGAGTTCGCGAATACTATTCACAACTCAGCTTAAATACTATTATACATTTGACTTCTACATTTATCTTTCTACCGCGAACACTTCTAGTAGTTAACAGTACATATCACATCAAGCTGCAAACACCCGAATAATCGCCTGCGAGCACTTATTCTTACAAAGAGAGTAGAGAAGAATTTAATCACTATCATCAGATAGTAGATTATAACTGTTCTGAAAAGTAGAAATCTCAACTGCTTGCATTATATCTAGTTTATCATCAGAGTTATTTCTCAATTCTCTAATCTTAACAGGAGTTTGAGAATTCAAATTCTGTTTACATTTCACTGAAGAATTGGAGTTTGAAGACTTAGATAATTGAGAGTTTCTTCTTTTTGAGCTTGCAGTTGTGAGTTTACTGGCTTGACTCTTCTCTTCAGTTCTAGATTGACTTTGAGCTTCATCTTTTCTCCAGTTCTTTTGAGTTCTAGGAGCAAACATACATTCTTTTGAGCTAGATGCATGTTTTTCTTTGCAATTAGAGCACTTAAGCAGAGTATGTTGACAAATTTCATCTCTTTTTGAGCATGTTTCACATTTATGCTCACTAGTTTTATGATCTCTGGCACAGAATGCACATTTTGAGTCTCTAAAACATGAGATTGCAAAGTGTTCATATCTTTGACAGTTTGAACACTGTGTTTGAGCTTTGAGATTCATTCTCGAGTCTTTGTATTCATGAACTCTCATTTTCAAACCTGCTACTCTTACTTCAGAGATCTTTGACTGTTCAAGTGTTTTTGTATATACTAGAACAGAGGCATTTCTCCTGCTTTGTCTGAACTCAATTGAATTTAGTCATACAGGCTCCTTTCTCAGTTGAATGGAGTTGTATTCTTTCAATTCATTTTTGAGAAGTAGCATTCCTTCTTCACAGTCAAAAATTTCAACTGGAATATCATGAAGAATGAATTTGTCCCACTTTTCATCTCTTTCAGATAGAATTGTTGTGTTTAGCAAAGATTCTACTGCTGACTTCCAGAGATTCTCATTCTGAATAAGGAATTCAGCACTGAATTCAGGCATTGTAGTCAGAATGATGGAGTTTTCAAAGAATGATGACTCAATTGAAGCTATAACTGGTTTTTGAACTTCAATATCAGTCATCAACTGAGAAAAGAACTGCTGATTAATTTCATTTCTGATTCTGAAAATGAGATTTGAGTTTAGCTTGTTTCTTTGCAGAATGTCCTGGTTTGAGACTTTGAGAATAAGTCTTCTATTTCTGGAGATTTGGAAGTTTTTCTCTTTTTGCATTTTCTTTTCCACTTTTCTATGAATAGAGGCATGAGCAGTATTCTTCTCAGTTTTCTCAGGATTTTGAGCTGGTTTTGAGACAGCAGGTTTAGAGACAGCAGATTCAGCTGCTTGAGCATATGTTTTCTTCTGATTCAAAGAAGAAGAAGAAGTAGGAAGAAAGAAAGAAGAAGAGCAAGATGAAGAGTCAGTGATTGTACTAGGAATTTTCAAGGTTTTTTGAACTGTGTTTGAGATTCCAAGTTTGAACTTGATCACCTCCTGTAGTTGTCTAGCCTGAGCATGAAGAATTAACAGAACTTCTTCATTCATCTCACTCAGACACTGCTTTCCAAGAATCTTGCTTGCTTTTTCAAGTTCCTGTATTTCAAGAACTTGTTGTTTCTCTATTTCTTCTTTCTTTCTTCTCTTCAGAATTTCAATCTCAGGAATAGCATTTGAGAAAGCATCTTTTTCCACATCAACTGAGTGTATTTTTGAACTCATTGTTTTCACTCAATGAAAAGTTGGTCAGACTGTTTCAATTGAGATATTTCTAAGTCTGTTTTCAATTGAAAAGTTGGTCAGACTGTTTCAAAAGAAGAATAAAAGACTTTTGTGTATAAAACACCTGATTTTTTTCACACTAGTTCAGTAACTAGGTTAGATTTTTGAAGAGAATCTAATAAACTAAAATTGATTTTTAAGATAAATCAATAAAATCTTTACAATCTCTTTCTTGGGATACAGTGAGGAAAAGTATGATATCAATTGATAATAAATCAGATGATATGACAGTTTTTGAGAGAAAAACTGACAAAAAATAAATCAATTTTTTGCAGAGAAATTGATTAAAACTATTCAATTTTATTCTAAATCATTCAATTCTCCTCACACAACAAGTGTGCAACTCAAATCAGTTAATAAAGAGTGTAAAAAAGAATTAAGTATTAATGAAAGCTCTTCAGCCACTGAAAAAGTAATTCTTACTTAAAAGAATATGAAATTATGACAGAAAACAACTCTGTTTTTAATTCTTTGTAAGAATATTGTGTAAAACCCAGAGAAAAACACCTTACTTTTTCAAGAGAAGTAAAAAACTATTTCTAAGATCTTTTTTTTGCATTAACTGCTGCAGAAGAATGAGATAGAAACTGCTAAGATATGCACTACTGTATACCCCCTATCAAGACTTTCCCTCTTCAGGGTCTTGATATTATAGAGAATATAAGTCTGTTTCTATATAATAATATAAATATTGCCAGCGAGATGTAGAGGAACTGGTTATTTATATCTCAAAATAGAAGACTTTGTCAATGATTATATCAATATAGAGTTAATTCTCAAATTCAATAGAAACCTAGTGTTGCTGTTCTCAATCCCTTGCAGAATCTATTGAATATTGAGATATTAAAACTAGATTTAATATATCTCACTGTGCAGGGATCAAAGGCTCAGTCAGATCTTGAAATATACTGATTTTATAGTTGTTGATGTGCTGTTGACGTATTGAATACAGTTGTCAAGGTATCTTTTTGTACTTTTCTGCCGGGGATGGGCCAGATCGGAAAGGGGTGAGACTTGGTGTTGAAGTCTAGATACACTGGCGGCGGACCGTGGAGGTTGCACTTCAGAAGAGTCCGTTGATTATGTGCTTGATATTATCGCCGAGGTATCTTTTTGTATTTTTCTGCCGGGGATGGGCCAGATTGGGAAGGGCGGTACGAGGGTGAGACTTGGCGTTGGTGTTTTGGAACATCAAAGATGGACAGGGTTTTCGCGGAGGTCGCTCCTCGGATATCTCCACAACTACAGGTCGGGGATCTTCCAAAATCGAGAAGATTGGTGCATATGGCTAGGTCACTTCACCTTACAATTTGTATGGCACTCTGGCCCGGGGTTGTGGTGTGGTAGGGGAGAACGGGGGATAATCCCACACAGGAGCTTCGAACAACGTCCGGTTCACGTTTGGCTGGATAACTCCACCACCACACGGGGTATGCGGTCGGCGATGGGGTCAAAATGCTCGTATGATCGAGGGCTTTTCGATGGATCTATCGGCGGGTTCTTATTCGAAAAATCGAGCGAGTTCGTGGTGGAGCGGTTGATTGGTGGCTGTATATGATTCATTCTGAAACTCATATTCTAAGGTTGGAAGTTTTGCTACACTTCTTGTTTTAGTATAGTTAAAAGCTTTAAAAACTTCTTTTTCTTATGCTTCTTCAAGAAATTTATTCCAGCAGTCTGTTTTAGCTTTTTTAATATTTGAAAAATATTCATTTCTGACAGCTTTGAACTCTTTATCAGAAATTATATCATTCTTTCAATCTCTTCTAGTAGTAGCCAATTGTTTCCTTTTAGATGTGATATTCTCATTTCATCAAGATTTTGAATACTCAGAAGACTTTCTCTTTGAAATATTATCTTTAACACTTGCTAGAATAATAGATGTAATAAGCTTCACTCTATTCTCAAGCATTTCATTTGAGATATCTTGACCAGGGTTTCAATACAGCTCACTCTGCCTTTCAGATTTTAACAGTTTTATACTTTCTTCAACTGCCTTCCAGTCAGCTTTTTCAAAGTTAAACTGATTAGAGAGAAGAGGATTTTCACTCATTTATTCCTCACTCAGTTCAATATCAAATTGAATAATTTCATGATCTGATCCTGATGTCTCATTTGAATCAATAAACCAGTTTACAAGTCTTTTTTCTATTAGATTTTGTGACATGAAGATTAGATCTATAATAGATTTCTGTTTCATGCCTTTTCTAAAGAATGTTTGTTGATCAGACTTGTTAACTAAATCTATTGAATGCTCAAAGGTTCATTCAATCAGGTTATCAGCTCTTACTGCTCTTTTGCATTCTGAATTTTATCAGAGATGATGTGCATTGAAATCTCCTGCAATTATAGAGTTTCTTGATGAAGTTATGTTCAGAAATTCTCTATTAATTGTCCAGATGTTATTATTTTCCTTCAATGACTTTTCCTTATAGATATTTATAAGCTGTATAGTATCAAACTCATTCTCTTTATCTATAATATCACTCACCAGAATATCAGGGTCAGACATGATATCAAATCTTAGATTAAATTGATATCTTGATCTCTTTCTTTCATAGATCACTACTCTCAACTTTATCTCAGACTTTTGAGGTAAAAAGCAGTAGTAGCTTGAATGAGAAATGACATATTTTTGCTCAGCATCAAAATTTGGCTTCTGAAGCAGTACAAAATCAACTTTTTATTCAAATGCAATTTGAAGACAAGAATAAATGCAATTTGAGTTTCTATTCACATTATTTTGAATAAATGTGATTTTTGAAGAGTTTTTAAACTTTTTTTATTGTTTTTATTGTATATTCATACTAAAAGAGAGTAGAGTAGAATCTAATCACTATTATCAGATAGTAGATTATAACTGTTCTGAAAAGTAGAAATCTCAACTGCTTGCATTATATCTAGTTTATCACCAGAGTCATTTCTCAATTCTCTAATCTTAACAGAAGTTTAAGGATTCAAATTCTGTTTACATTTAGCTGAAGAATTGAAGTTTGAAGATTTAGATAGTTGAGAGTTTCTTCTTTTTGAGCTTGCAGTTGTGAGTTTACTAGCTTGACTATTCTCTTCAGTTCTAGATTTACTTTGAGCTTCGTCTTTTCTCCAGTTCTTTTGAGTTCTTGAAGCAAACATACATTCTTTTGAGCTAGATGCATGTTTTTCTTTGCAATTAGAGCATTTAAGCAGAGTGTGTTGATATATTTCATCTCTTTTTAAGCATGTTTCACATTTATGCTCACTAGTTTTGTGATCTCTGGCACAGAATACACATTTTGAGTCTCTGAAACAGGAGATTGCAAAGTGTTCATATCTTTGACAGTTTGAACACTGTGTTTGAGCTTTGAGATTCATTCTTGAGTCTTTGTATTCATGAACTCTCATTTTCAAACCTGCTACTCTTACTTCAGAGATCTTTGACTGTTCAAGTGTTTTTATATATACTAGAACAGAGGCATTTCTTCTGCTTTGTCTGAACTCAGTTGAATTTAGTCATACAGGCTCTTTTCTCAGTTGAATGAAGTTGTATTCTTCTAATTCATTTTTGAGAAGTAGCATTTCTTCTTCACAGTTAAAAATTTCAACTGGAATATCATGAAGAATGAATTTGTCCTACTTTTCATCTCTCTCAGATAGAATTATTGTGTTTAACAAAGATTCTACTGCTGATTTTCAGAGATTCTCATTCTGAATAAGGAATTCTGCACTGAATTCAGGCATTGTGATCAGAATGATGGAGTTTTCAAAGAAGAATGACTCAATTGAAGCTATAACTGGTTTTTGAACTTCAATATCAGTCATTAACTGAGAAAAGAACTGCTGATTGATTTCATTTCTAATTCTGAAAATGAGGTTTGAGTTTAGCTTATTTCTCTGCAATATATCCTGATTTGAGACTTTGAGAATAAGTCTTCTATTTCTGGAGATTTGAAGATTTTTCTCTTTTTACATTATTTTCTTCACTCTTCTATCAATAGAAGTATGAGCAGTATTCTTCTCAGTTTTCTCAGAATTTTGAGCAGGTTTTGAGATAGCAGATTTAGAGACAGCAGGTTTAGAGACAGCAGATTCAGCTGCTTGAGCATATGTTTTCTTCTGATTTAAAGAAGGAGAAGAAGAAGAAGTAGAAAAGAAAGAAGAGCAAACTGAAGAGTCAGTGATTGTATTAGGAATTTTCAAAGTTTTTTGAACTGTGTTTGAAATTCCAAGTTTGAACTTGATCACTTCCTGTAGTTGTCTAGTCTGAGCATGAAGAATTAACAGAACTTCTTCATTCATCTCACTCAGACACTGCTTTTCAAGAATCTTGTTTACTTTTTCAAGTTTCTGTATTTCAAGAACTTGTTATTTCTCTATTTCTTCTTTCTTTCTTCTCTTCAGAATTTCAATCTCAGGAATAGCATTTGAGAAAGCATTCTTTTCCACATCAACTGAGTGTACTTTCAAACTCATTGTTCTTACTCAATGAAAAGTTGGTCAGACTAATTCAATTGAGATATTTATTAAACTCTTTTGAATTGAAAAGTTGATCAGACTGTTTCAATTAAGAGGTTTCTAAGTCTGTTTTCAATTGAAAAGTTGGTCAGACTATTTCAAAAGAAGAATAACAGACTTTTGTGTATAAAACACCTGATTTTTTTCACACTAGTTCAGTAACTAGGTTAGATTTTTGAAGAGAATCTAATAAACTAAAATTGATTTTTAAGATAAATCAATAAAATCTTTACAATCTCTTTCTTGAGATATAGTGAGGAAAAGTATGATATCAATTGATAATAAATCAGATGATATGACAGTTTTTGAGAGAAAAACTGACAAAAAATAAATCAATTTTTTGCAGAGAAATTGATTAAAACTATTCAATTTTATTCTAAATCATTCAATTCTCCTCACACAACAAGTGTGCAACTCAAATCAGTTAATAAAGAGTGTAAAAAAGAATT